TTCACAATAAACAAGCGCTATGCCACACATACACAACATACAACACTATGCCACACATACACAACATACAAGCACTATGCCACACATTCACAATAAACAAGCGCTATGACACACATACACAACATACAACACTATGCCACACATACACAACATAGAAGCACTATGCCACACATACACAACATAGAAGCACTATGCCACACATACACAACATAGAAGCACTATGCCACACATACACAACATAGAAGCACTATGCCACACATACACAACATAGAAGCCCTATGCCACACATACACAACATAGAAGCACTATGCCACACATACACAACATAGAAGCACTATGCCACACATACACAACATAGAAGCACTATGCCACACCTACAAAACATACAAGCACTATGCCACACATTCACAATAAACAAGCGCTATGCCACACATACACAACATACAACGCTATGCCACACATACACAACATAGAAGCACTATGCCACACATACACAACATAGAAGCACTGTGCCACACATACACAACATGCAAGCACTATGCTCCACATATGCAACATACAAACACTATGCCACACATACACAACATACAAGCACTATGCCACACATTCACAATAAACAAGCGCTATGCCACACATACACAACATACAAGCACTATGTCTCACATACACAACATAGTTGAGGAACAACAACTGCTCCAGCACCTTGGCGTTGCCCTTCAATTGTGTTGCTATGACAACCGCGTCCCGTGTATCTCTGTCTGGCGTACGATAAACTGCTTCATCTTGCTATGCTGTTTTTCTGTGCAGCATTACACAAAATGCTTGAGGGAAGCAGTTAACTATTAATATTTAGATGGAAAGCGCGCGTCTATCGGTAAGAGTTGAGTGCCACAGTATTAGTGCCTCGGTAGAGTCAGTAGAGATGTGTTTCCCCCCTGTTAGCGTGGCACTTGGCTGGCAGTGGTCAGTGGCACTGCTGAGGTGGTGGTTGTGCCTCCCCTCTCTTAGCACCACACTCCTCCGTCGATCCCGGACCCCTGATAAACCAGCAGGTCGTGATGTAACCTGAAGTGCTTCTCACAGTTCCCTCTTGCAAACCCACAACAACAGACCATCGTTATTTTTAACGAAATATGAATCAGTGTATATATAATGTTGGTAATAAATGTTTGAAGAAGTGTGAGTGTCACAGCCTGTATGATGGTTGGCACTGCTGAGGTAGAGATGTATGCCACCATCAACTCTCACACAAGTCTCTGTCTACTTCTGCTTCTGTTCATCACTAACGGTACGTTGTCTACCCTTCTTAATGCTTACTTGTATATGACAGTGTTATAATGTGTCAACACTGTCTTAAGTAACCCTGACTTAACACTGTAACCTAACACTGTAAACTGATTTAACTCTGCAACCTGACGTAACTCTGGCCCCTGGTGAACATTAACCTGGTGAACATTGTAACCTGGTGAACATTGTAACCTGGTGAACATTGTAATATGATTTACACTTTCTCCGATCAGCACTATAACTAAATTAACACTGTAACCTGATTAACAATATAACCTGAATTAAATTGCAACCTGTTAATCATTAAACCTGATTATCATTGCAACCTGATTAACATAGTGACCTGACCAGCACGGTAAAGAGATTAACATTGTAACCCGATTAACACTGCAACCTGATCGACACTGTAACCTGATTAACACTGCAACCTAGTTAGAAAATTTAACATTTAACCTTGAAGTTGCTTTTACGAAATAAGACGTAACATATAAACCTGTTCTGGTAAAATACGAATCTTATGAAATACGAGAAGTTACTTATACTTAATAAGAACAAATGAGAAGAGAACTTATTTTGCACTGTATTGTGAAGACGACGACACTGACGCAGTGTCATGTATTAATACTACAACACTGACTCAGTGTCATGTATTGTGAAGACGACGACACTGACACAGTGTCATGTATTAAGACTACGACACTGCCACTGTTATGTACTGTGAGGACTACGACACTGATACAGTGATATATATTGTGAAGACTACAACACTGACACAGTATCATGTATTAATACTGCAATAGTGACACTGACAGAGTGTCAACCAATAAAGCTGCAACACTGACATATATTAAGACTGGCACAGCGACATGTGTTAAGACTGCAAGAATGACACTGACACAGTGTCAGGTTTTAGACTGTAACACTGCCTCTGACACAGTGTCATGTATTAAGACTGCAACACTGACAGAGTGTCATGTATTAGGACTGCAACATTATCACTGATACAGTGTCATGTATTAAGACTGCAACACTGACAGTCACACAGTGTCATGTATTAAGACTGCAACACTGACACAGTGACATGTATTAAAACGACAACGCTTACACAGTGTCATGTATTACTATTGCAACACTGACACTGTGTCATGTATTAAAACTGCAACACTGACACTGACACAGTGTCATGTATTATGACTGCAAAACTGACACTGAC